TTTGAACTGAGTACCCTTAAGAGTTACTAATTTTTTAAAAATAGTCATTATTGTAAAAAATTAATTTTCAATATCATATTAAAAATAAATAAAACATTTTTAAATTATAAGTTATTTAAACTTAATTTTAAAAATATTAATTTAAAATAGGTATTATTATTATTGTTGTCTTTTTCCTGAAACACCTCAAAATTGTAATTACTATTTAAGGGCCTGTTTGGTAACGTTTATATTTACTATTTTCTATTTAAGTATAATTTCATTGACCATTAATTTAAGCCTATTGAAGTAGTGTATTATTGATTGATAAGTCATGTTTAATTAAGTAATAGTATAGTTTGATCGAGTAGTAAGTGAAAACTCAATAATAATAAATAAAGTCTAATAGAATAGTAAGTGAAAATTGGAATATCTCATTGAGTAATAATTTCTTGTATGATAGAATAAGTAGGTGGCTATGAGAATGTTGGGTTTATACAAAAAGACATGTACAACCATTTTGGGATGGAACGTAAAGCGCAAGTTGTCGATGGTGACGCAAAAAGTGATTTGACTTACTATCAATTGTGATAGTACTTATCACTTATTATGACAATACTTATTACTCTTAAATATAATACTTATTATTTGTTCTAATTCTAATTATAAATCAATGGTTATTAGTAGTCAAATGTTTGATTAAGTAATAAGTTAAGTCATATTATTCGTTCTCATTCTATTTACCACTCAATAGTTGTCAGTAATCAGATGTTCGATTAAGTAATAAGTCAAGTGATATTATTCGTTCTAATTCTACTTGCAACTTAATAGTTATCAGTAGTCAAATGTTTGATTGAGTAATAAGTCAGGGCTAATAGAAATGTAGGTGAAGTCTTATTGAGTAATAAGTGGAATTTAATTAAGTAGTATGTTATGTCTAATTAAGTCATAAGTGAAATCTCCTTAAATAGTAAATGAGGTTTAATTGAGTAGTTAGTCAAATTTAATGAAATAGTAAGTGGAATCTTATTCAGTAATAAATGAGATCATACTATGACACTCTCTAAAGTTGGTAAGATTTCTAAATTTGTTTGTCACTCGTTATGAATTATTTTACTATTTGTTTTGAAACGACTTATCACTTAGTATGACACTCTCTAAATGGGATTTTATTTCATAGTAAGTCAAGTTTAATGAACTAGAAAGTCGAGTATCAAACGTTTGATTGAGTAGTAGTCTAATGGAGTAGTAAGTAGAGTAAGTAGAGTAAGTGGTGTCTTTTTAAGTAGTAGTGAAGTGAAGTTTGATTGTGTAGTAAGTTGAGTTTCATTGAGTAATAAGTAGTGTTTAATTGGATAGTAAATCAAGTTTGATGGAGTAACAAGTAAACAATTAACGAGTAGTAAGTGGAGTCTCATTAAGTAAGTGTGGTTTAATTTAGTAGTAAATAGAGTCTCACTGAGTAGTAAATGAACTGTAATGAAATAGTAAGCGAAAGCTCATTGAGTAGATAATGGAATCTATTGAAGTAGTAATGGAAGTTTATTAAGTAGTAAGTGAAGCCAAAATTGAGTAGTAAGTAAAGTGTAATGAAATAGTAAGTGGAAACTCATTGAATAGTTAGTAAAGTCTAGTGAAATAGTAAGTGAAAGCTTGTTGAATAGTAAATGGAGTATAGTGAAATAGCAAGTGAAAACTCATTAAGTAGTAAGTGAAACCAAAATTGAGTAATAAGTGGAGTTTAGTGTAGTAAGTGGAAGCTAAATGAGCATTTTTCAACTTTTTTGGGACAATGATAAATCTGATGAAGTAGTCAATAGAATCTAATTAAGTAGTAAGTAAGATTTAATTAAGTAGTAAGTCAAGTCCAAATAAGTGGTGTCTTATTGAGTAATAAGTCATATTGATTGAGTAATAAATGGAGTTTGATAGAGTAGTAGTGGTAATATGATGGTGATAGTGGTGGTAGTAGTGGTGGCAGCGGTATGGTAGTGGCGGCAGTGGCATGGTAGTGGTAATAGTGGCATAGTAATGTTGATGGTGGTTGTGTTGGTGGTGGTTGTAGAGGTAGCGATGATAGTGGTAGTAAAATTTTAGTGATGTTTATGGAAATAATGACAATCTTGATGAAAGTGGTGGTAGTAGTAGTGGTGGTGGTGGTAGTTGTAGTAGTAGTAGTAGTAGTAGTAGTAGTAGTAGTAGTAGTAGTAGTAGCGGTGGTTGAGTAGTAAGTCAAATTTGATTGAGGAGTTGTGGAGTCTTATTGACTAGTAAGTGAGATTTAAGTCAAGTCTGATTGAGTAATAAGTGAAGTCTCAATAACTGGGATAAATAAAAATTATTTAGTAATTTTTATAAATTCAAATATTTTTAAAAAATACCTCACATGTCCAAATAATTTATTTAATAATTTAATGTAATAGTAAGGGGATCTTAATTAAATAGTAAATTATGTTTAATTGAATAGTAGTAGAATTAGATTTTAAATAATCATGTAAATTATTTTTATTTGTAAAATGATAGCACATTGCTTAATGTTCGAGTAAGTTATGAATAATATTTTGTAATTATGTTATAAAATTACTTCTTTACTTTGATTTGGTTTTAAGATTTTTATAGTTTCATTCTAAATTTTAAAAATCTCTAAGTGCTCGTTTGGTCATTTTTATTCTTAAACAAACCAAATTAAATCATACTCACTCCTAATAAAGAAGTTTACTAATATGACTTTAATTACCATTTGTTGTGAGTTAATTTACTATTAAACACAATTAATCTTATAAGTTTGATATAATTATACTCATAATCAATGATATAACGAGTTATAATCAAAGATCACAAAGTTCATAACTATACATATAGTACATATCAAAAAAAGAATGTGTTATAAATTTTTCCTATGTACACAAGAATGTGTATTATATATTCCAATATTAAATAAATAACATCATTTTTTTATTCATGTAACTAACAAATACTATTGAGAAATTTTATTTAAATTAATAAATTTTGAAGAAAGTTCAATATAATTATGTTAAATTTTATGGTACTTGTGTGAGTAATTTTCTGACCACACTGTCCGCTTAGTAACCAGCTGGAGAGCACTGGCAGAATAGATGGCTTTAGTAAACCTGCAACAGAAAGAAAAGGCTTCGACGGTGGCTCTTCCACCCGGGGACACTCCGACGATCAAGTCAGTATATCTCTCAAAGATAATCAAGTGCTAAACTTACAAGCTTAAGCATAAAAAGCATAAAATTGCGTACTTTAGACCCAAGGGGGTGCCTCTCTTTTATAGTTAACTCAATCCAAGTCCCAATAGAAGCCTAACTTCTATAGACTCATATTCAGTGCTTACTTTGGATTTCACAAGAGATAAAGATAAACTCTCTAAGAGTGTTATCCTTATCTAAGCGAAGTCTCTTATTTACTCTAGGACGCTTGTCCCTTATCCCTTATCCGCTTATCTCGGATTCCGATATCTTCGGAGATAACCTCGGCGTTGCCGAGATAACCTCGGCGTTACAACCAGGACACGTGGCACCTCGGCTGACACGTCGGCGTCACCTTGCTACGTGTTGGTATTCAGAAAATACATCCCCACAACTGCCCCCTAGGTTCTATTACTCGGCATTCTGAGGTGATGGAACCTATATCTGTATTCTTCCGTAAATTAAGAAAATTTGACAGCCGAGATCATTCATTTCTGGCCGACATGCTTTCCCTAAAAAATCAAGATTTTTAAGGAACTTTTTACGCGCCTGAGCTGTCACGCACTTCAACCCAACCGTTTTAGCCACGCGTTTCCCTCTTACTGGTCCGTTCATGTGACATGCCTGTTAGCCACCTTTTTCCTCACATGCGCCGTCTGACGCCCTCGTTCTTCTAGGCATATTGATTGCTTTTGCCGCCGTTTCTGTTTAATCAAAAACCTTTCTTTCTTTTTTCCGTCTTTTCACTTTTTCGTTCGAATTTCCTGCTTTCTCTCTCTAGCTTTCGAAACCCTCCATCGCTCAAGCTTCCAAAGCTCTGCAACCTTCTCCGTTCACCCCTTCCGGCGAGATTTCCACCGGTCTTTTGCTCCTGCAATCGTCGTAGGACATCGGCAAACCCCTTTCCGGCTTCCCTTTTGCTGGTAAGCTATTATTCCTTTCGTTTTCAGTCCCTGATGTTTCTTCTTTTTTGCTGTCGCCATTACTATACTATTTCAAGCTTTTTTGACTCATAAATCATACATCTGAATGCATTCATCCATGATTTTACCTTTGCCCACATTTTGAACATACACACTTTTTCACCACTTCTTTGTACTTTTGCCACTGTTCTTGGCCATATACTCTTGTATTCTTCATGTTCTTGATAGCCCATCTCAATTCTTGTTTCTGAAACTTCGTCCTTGTTTTCTGTTTTTTGCAGCTTTTCTAGATTCTTGCTTTCAATCTGTGTTTCCATAGATTTAAGTCTGGGATTTGTCTGTAGAACCCATAACTTTGGAAAAAACTGAAACCTGCACTTACCTTATTGTTTGCCGAGGTCCCAATAACCTTTCAAAAACATCTTCTGAGACCCACTTTCTAAGATTAAGCCGATATCATGGGTATGTGGAAACATAGGGTAAACACCCCCTCCAAACTTGAATACTTTAGACAGGAGTTTGAGATCCCAGCCGACGTCCATTTGAGGCTGGCTGGGGATGATGACTCCATCATGTCCACTGCTGACTCCATGCCTTTCCCCGTAGTCGTCTTTATAAAGTGTGGACTTCGGCTTCCTTTAAACATTCTGTTTCGTGAAGTTCTCCATTACTACAAGTTGAACCCTATGCAACTGGCAATCAATTCCTATCGAGTGATCTTTGGCATCATAGCCCTAGCTAAACAGGAAAACGCTAGGATCACCCTTGCCGACATCCAATATTGCTATACCATGTGTGGCCTTAACTTGAAAGAAAAAGGCTACATTTATTACCTTAAGCCGAGGTCCACAGAATTCAAAATTGTAGCCGACCTCCCAGACTTCAACAAGGGGGCTGGAGATGATTATTTCATTACCTCGGGGAATTGGGAATTTGCTCTAGACGAGGACATCCATCTCTACCCTCTTCCTCGTCCAGTCTTAGAGGGCAAGGGTAAGAGCCTAGTATTCAGCTTTACCTGTTTTTCTTAAAAGTGTTAAATACTTTATTTGTTTCTGATGCCTGTTCTTCTTGCAGCTGTTCGTCAGCTATCGAAAATTCGCCAATCCTTTGTTCCCAGTAAGGATTTAAAGAATTTACTGGACCTGCCAGTTCAGAAGCGAAAGGCACCCCTGCTTCTCAACTTCATCCCAACATACAGATCAGCTCTTCTCGACGTCCCCAGGAAAAAGAAGAAGAAGAGCTCATCTCCTCCCTCTGCTACAATTCTTCTAGTTGCTTTATCATCGCGAACAGACCAAGGATCAACCTCTGATCCAGCAGAACAGCCGTCGACCTCGGCTCCATACCTCATTCCACCATCCCAAAGAAAGCGTCGCCGACGTCTTGTTCTTGCAGCTGAGAGGGGTCGCGCAAAGCCAGTTGCTAAAGACCTCCTAGCCAACATTCCATCATCTATTGACGAACAGCCAACACAAACCCAACCTCCAGAAAAACCAAAAAGAATTAAGAAAGCTCAACCGAAGGCGAAAGTGACTCAGGTTGAGACTGAGGACACTTTGCCAGCCCCACAATTGGCTCCAACTCAAAAAACTGCCTCTGTCCCTTCGAAGAGGTCTGCCGAAGTACTTCCTTCCGAATCCTCCAAACCAAAAAGGTCGAGGTCATCTGCAACGACTTCGGGGTCAAAGAAACCAGCTGTCTCCTGGGCCCCCGAAATCACCCTAGAGGATAAGCCTGTAATGGCAAGTGACAGTGCCGACGATATCAATGTCGGCGTTGCACTCAGTACCGCTCTACTTCTCCCAAGTGACTTGGAGCGGAACGCCAAGTACAGCGAGTATGAAAATTATGCCTTAATGTTACAGCACTCTGTTCAGGTAAACGTCTTCTTCTTGGTAAATTTTTCTTTCTCTTTATTTCACGCTTTGAATATTCTTTAATACCCCTGTTTTCTTTCAGGCCATCCAGCATGCTCATTCTTTCTCAATGCAGTCTTTTGAGAATCGGCAAAAGCTGGCCGACATGAAGAAGGAGTTCTCTTCTGTTCAAAAGATCAATAAAGGCCTTGAATCAAAAGTGAAGAAGTTGGAGGATCAAGCCGAAGCTGCAATTAAAGCTCAGAATAATGCCGAAGAGAAGGCTGAGGCTACCGAGGCTATCAGAAAGGTGGCTGAGTCTCAAAGGAGAGAGGCCGAGGAAAAAATGGCCCAAGCTGAGAAAGAGCTTTAGGAGGCCCTGGCCACCAAAGAAGCTGAAATCAAAGATGCTGATGAAAAGGCGTATTCACAGGGTATGGCCGATGTCACTGAGCCCTACGAAAAACAAGTGAAGGAGGCATGCAACAAGGGTTTCACCCTTGGTTGGATGTCCCTTCTGAAAAAACTTAATATTCCTGATGACTCTCCATTGCGGAAGGCCGACGCCATTCCCCTGCCATTTCCTCCAGCCCTAATTCCAAGTGAAGATGTCGGCGAATCTGATGCTGAGGATGAGGCTGATGAGGAAGAGGATGAGGCTTTGATTAGAAAATCAAAAGATGCTGATGGGGCCAAGTCCCCTCTTCAGAATGAGCAAGTCCTAGACTTGACTCAAGATGAAGAAGGCGATGAGGTTATCCAAGAAGTTGTTCCTGACATCACACCAGCCGACGTCCCTTCTGAGGTCAAGACTGTTGAAGAAACTCTTTAAGAAATTGACGCCGAGATAGTAGCAGAGAAGGAGGCCGAGGTGGTATCTGATCTTCAAATTCAACAATCTGGCGGAGAGGAGCCTTAGCTCTAAGTTTTCTTCTTACTTGTATTTTCTTGTTTTCTTTATCTTTGGGAACAACGTATGTTTTTGTATGGCCGATGTGCCCCCCTTTTTCCTTTGAATGTTAATACGACATTTCTCTTTTATTGAATGCTTGTACTCCTGTCTTTTCTTCTTTATTTTTGCATGATTCTATACTTAGAATATTCTGCATATGTCGTATATACTCTTTCTTCTTTGTGCAATTTTCTTGGGGTAACACACCTCGGTTATGCCACCCATAATTTACCTCGGCAAGTACTTGTCTTGTAAATTGTTTATAAGTTTCAACAAGGATAAACATATAAAGGTAATAAACTTTCCTCAAGTTATAACAAATGTTAAGCAATATATTGGTTTAACTTCAACTTATAAATTGCTACAAATTTCAACAAGTGAAGATAAACAATTATCTCGGCTTAACTTCAACTTGTAAATTGCTACAAATTTCAACAAGCGTTAAGCATTAATTCAGTTTAACTTCAACTTGTAAATTGCTACAAATTTCAACAAGCGAAGATAAAAAATTATCTCGGCTTAACTTCAACTTGTAAATTGCTACAAATTTCAACAAGTGAAGATAAAAAATTATCTCGGCTTAACTTCAACTTGTAAATTGCTACAAATTTCAACAAGCGTTAAGCATTACTGTCTTTTCTTTGCCCCCAATGTGAACCTGAGTTCCACTTGGGTTCTCATTAAACAATCTTTACGCATCTTTTGTCAATTTACAAGTCTTTGAAGAATTCTGCTAAAATTTTATTGATGATGTCGATAAAAAAGAACAAAGAACATTTAATGATAAAAAAATTTCAAATTACAAGTGTTCTAGAGTCTTGGCAATGCTTTGCCCTCATTATCTTCAAGCCGGTATGCTCCATTGCCTAATACCAAAGTAATTCTGTAAGGACCTTCCCAGTTTGGGCCAAGCTTGCCCTCTCTGGGATCCTTTTTGTTGCCAACAACTTTTCTTAGAACTAGGTCGCCGACTTGAAAATCCCTTGGATTGACCTTCTTATTGTAAGCTCTAGTAAGCTGCTGCTGGTATGCTGCGAGTTAAATTGCAGCTTTCTTCCTTCTTTCTTCTAAGAGATCCAGATCTCGGGCTAGAAGTATATCATTTGTGCCATTCTCTACTCCTTGGGTTCTGATCCCTGGGATGCCGATCTCCAGTGGGATGACTGCTTCTGTGCCATAAGCCATGGCAAAGGGGGTCTCCCCTGTTGATATTCTCGGTGTAGTCCGATATACTCAGAGTACATTGGGCAACTCGTCTACCCATTTCCCTTTTGCTGCCTGCAGCCTCTTTTTTATCCCATCCAAAATTACTTTGTTGGATGCTTCCACTTGTCCATTGCTTTGGGGAAAACTTGGTGTTGAAAAGTAATTCTTTATCTTGAATTTCGCACAGAAGTTCTTGATGAGTTTGCTGTCAAACTGCGTTCCGTTGTCGGCAACTATTGCTCTTGGAATGCCAAATCTGGTGATAATGTTTCTCCATATGAAATTCTTGACGTCCACATCTCGGATTTTGGCAAGAGGTTCTACTTCTATCCACTTCGTGAAGTAATCTGTTGCTACCAGCAAGTACTTCCTTTGCCCAGTTGCTTGGGGTAACTTTCCAATGAGATCCATGCCCCATTGGGCAAATGGCCATGGACTGGATACAGGGTTCAGGTCAGCAGCTGGCTGGTGTATCAAAGGTGCGAACCTTTGGCATTGTTCACACTTCTTCACGTAGGCTTCTGCATCTTTTTGCATGTAGGGCCACCAATACCCCTGGGTAATGGCCCTGTGAGCTAGTGATCTGCCCCCAGCGTGGCTTCCACAAATCCCTTCATGAATTTCGTATAGAAAATCTTCAACCTGCAAAGGGTGTACACACCTTAAAAGGGGTCCTGTGAAGGACCTCCTGTAAAGATGCCCGTCCGCTGTCAGACTGAATCTTGCCGACTTTAATCTGATTTTGTGTGCCTCCTTATGGTCTTCTGGCAGCTTTCCCTCTTTCAGGAATACAACAATTGCATCCATCCAGCTTGGTCCCAAGTCCACACACATTGCTTCTTGCTTTGTGATCGGCTGTTCTATGCTCGGGCTTGATAGATAGTCGATCATTATTGTTCTTGTTTTTCCAGTTTGCATTGAGCTTGCCAAGTTGGCCAATGCGTCGGTGTGGTTGTTATCATCTCGGCTGACTTGAAGAAGTCGGCAGTTGCGAAACAAGGCTGCAAGCCTGATGACTTTCTTTGCGTATGCCGACATCCTCTCATCTCGGGTTGCAAACTCTCCTGTTGCCTGATTTACTGTAAGCTATGAATCACAAAAAATTATTACCTCATCTGCTTCCGCCGCCACTGCCAGCTTTAGTCCTGCAATCAATGCTTCGTATTCTGCCTTATTGTTTGAGGCCTTGAACCCCAATCGAATAGATTGTTCCAATACCTCCTCATCAGGAGATATTAACACTACTCCTGCTCTTGCTCCTTGCCGGTTTGAGCTCCCATCGATAAACAGGCAAAAGGAGTCGCCGATGTAAATGCTGCAGGGTTTGAGTTTTTCCTTTCCTTGTTCTTCTGCTTTTGGCTGGGCTTTTCCTTGTTTGCTTGGACATCGTTCATCTTGGCTCAACGGAGCCCGATGTTCGATGGATTCTGGTGTGAATTCGGCCACGAAGTCGGCCAAAACTTGGCCCTTAATTGCTGTTCTCGGCCTAAACTCCAGGTTGTACTGGCCCAAGGCCACTACCCATCTTGCTATTCTTCTAGTTAAGTTTCCTTGTTGTAACAAGGACTTCAGTGGGTGTTCTGTTAGCATTATAATCTTGTGCGCTTGAAAGTAATGGCTCAGTTTCTTTGAAGCCATCACTAAAGCTAGCGCCAATTTTTCCAAGGGTAGATACCTTGTTTCTGCATCGACTAAGGTTTTGCTTACATAATAAACAGCCCTTTGCTCCCCCTTTTCCTCTCGGATTAGCACTGCACTTACTGCGTGTTCTGAAACTGCCAAATACAAAAACAGTTCTTCTCCAGGTTCAGGTGTTGAGAGGACTGGGGTCGTGGTCAGATACTTTTTTAGGTTGGTCAAAGCGGCCTCACATTCTTCAGTCCATAGGAAGTCCGTAGCCTTCTTCACCAGGTTGAAGAAAGGTTTACATTTGTCTGAGCTTCGGCTTATGAACCTGTTTAGGGCTGTGGCCCTTCCAGTAAGCATCTGAACCTGTTTTGCCGATGTCGGGCTTTTCAACTCTAGGATGGCCTTGATTTGATCTGGGCTAGCCTCAATGCCCTTTCTTGTTACTAGGTACCCCAGAAACTTACCTGATCCAACCCCAAAGGCGCACTTCGATGCGTTGAGTCGGAGCCGGTATGTTTTGAGTATATCAAAGACCTCTTTTAGGTCAGCAAGATGGCCCTTAGGTTCCTTGGTCTTTACGACCATGTCGTCGATGTAGACTTCTACTATTTGGCCAATCAGGTTTTTGAACATCTTGGTTACCAACATTTGGTAAGTTGCTCCTACGTTTTTCAACCCAAAAGGCATTACCTTGTAACAATACAGTCCTTTCGGGGTGATAAACGCTGTCTTCTCCTCGTCTGGGGGGTACATGGCTATCTGGTGGTATCCTTTGTAAGCGTCTAGGAAGCTCATCCTTCCATGTCCAGATGTGACGTCTACCAACTGGTCAATCTTGGGTAAAGGAAAACAGTCTTTGGGACAAGCTTTGTTCAGGCTTGTAAAATCTACGCAGACCCTCCATTTACCGTTTTTCTTCTTTACCACTACTGTGTTGGATAGCCATGTCGGGTAAAGAACTTCTCGGATGGCCCTGGCCTCCAGAAGTCTATCCACTTCTTCTTCTACTGCTTCGACGTGCATCAACGTCGGTCTTCTGGCTCGTTGAATCACTGGTTTTGCCGACCTGTCGACATTCAGCCTGTGGCAAGTGACCTCGGGGTCGATGCCAGGCATTTCGTAAGGTGTCCAGGCGAACACCTCAATGTTGGCCCTTAGAAAAGCCTCCAACTCTTTTTCCTCTTCTTCGGCTAAGCCTGAGCCGAGAAGAAAGAAGCGTTCTTCATCCCCATCCTGGACGAGGATTTTCTTTAGCGCCTCTTCGCTCTTCTCGGCTGGTTCTTTGCCGACGTCTTTTAGGACTTCCATGTCCTCATCTTCAATTTCTGCCTTTTCTGGCTCTCGAACGCTGTAAGTAGACTTCATTGCTGTCATGGAGCAACTTTTTGCCTGCAGTTGATCTCCTCTGACTTCTTCAATCCCATGCTCTATTGGAAATCACAATAGTTGATGCAATGTTGGGGGAACTGCCCCTATTGCATGCAACCATGGTCTTCCCAAGATGATGTTATATGGCGAAGGCGTGTCAATCACCATGAATTCTGTCCTAATCTTCTTAGTGCCAGCTTGTACTTCCAAGTTTGTTGCGCACAGTGGCCACGTCGGCGTTCCATTGAAGCCGACCATCGGGCCATTTAATTGCTCCAAGTCATCAGGATGAAGGCCCAGCTCTTTGTAACATCTAACGTACATGATGTCGCAAGAGCTGCCTTGATCAATCAGGATGCGTTTCACTTGGTACTCCCCAACCTAGAGGGATACTACCAAGGCATCATTATGGGGATGCTGGACCATCTCTAGGTCGGCTTAGTAAAATCTATCGTCGGTCCCTGGCATTCTTCGGGCCGAGGTCTTTTGTGTCTGACCTGGTTTATGTGCTGTAGGTGTTTTATCCTTTGAGTCTCCCCGCGTATGTCGTTTTCGTTCACCTTTGAGTGAATTACATTGACCACCCGTGGTCCTCCTAACTGTGGTTGCTGAGTTGGGGGAGGCGGAGCTGCTGGTGCTTGAGGCAATCTTGCCTGTTCTTCTCTAGTCCTGGCCTCATCAACAAGGTCCCTCAGATGTCCTTGCCTTACCAAGTCTTCTAAGTGTGCTTTTAGGGCTCTGCAGCCCTGAGTTGGGTGCCCTTCTTCATTGTGGTAAGCACAACGCCTACCGACATTTCTTCCCATAAATTCCCCTAGTGTTCTTGTCGGTCCTCTAAAATAGGGTTGGTTTCATATTTGATCCAAGACATTGTGGATCGGGACTCGGAATATAGTCG